GAGGCTTTTCATAGAAATTATAGAAAATCGAACATAGTGTCATTAGGACATGACCGGCCATTAAATTGATGAGGGGTTTGGTCTAATCAAAACTAGTTCGACTGCTAATCAAATCAGTTGGACTAAATTTTAGAAAAATGAAAATAATAAGTTAAAACTATAAAAACATATAAAAAATTATCAAACTTTATTTTGTAAGACAAATATATCAAAATCAGTTGGTCCTACAGGCCGAAACTGATAAAACTTGGGTTTTGATTGATTTTCAACTAAACTTGATTTTTGGACTAGATTGACGAATGCTACAATTGATGGTTCAACAGGGAGGACCAACCACTCTGGTCCAGTCTTGATAACTATGATCAAACAAGCCCCCCAACCTTTTGAGGATTACACATGTGATTGTATCACGGATCTAGAATTCTATCTCAATCTTCTTATTGTTTACTAAAATTGTCATGTAATCAAGTTTTAATTTGAAACCAGTTTTTTTGTCATGGAGAAGGTGCAGTAGTGTTGAATTGCCTAGACAAATTGAACTATATATGAATTGTTTTCCCACTAGTTGAGTCTTACAAACTAATTAAAAACATTTTCTTTTTTTTGTTTTTGGGAATTCAGTAGAGAAGACAAGCCCCTACCCGTTTTTTTTCAATAGATAGGGGAGTTGTGTTAACTGGGGGTGTAGGAATAGATACCGTAACTGGGCATAGGGATGCTACCACCACGATCCCAGCCCCTTTTCTAATTAAAAACAAATGTTTGAGGATATAATGACAATTTACAATGCTTTTCGTGTATAGCATTAAGCCACTACTGAAAGGAGAAGCGTTATTTATAGTTTTTAAGCGACTGATATATCAATCATCGTCTTTTATCTCTTATTCCAAATGAGCAATTTTCTAGGTTCTTGCAATTATATTTTTATGATAGTGACAATAAAGTTTCCAATTGTCTTAGGACATTACAACATGTTCAATGATGAAAAAATCAGCCTTGAGTGTGCTCCTAAGCGCCTTGACGGCACCTAGGTGCAACTTTGCCCGAGGAAGAAAAATGCCCCTACGAAGGTTAAAAAGTTATATCGCCCCTCCCCTCCTAAAATGGAAGGAAAAGGTTTTTCGAAGGCATTCTAGCCCCTAAAAACCATATATGCCTAGTGCCATATAATAAAAAAACTAAAAAAGAAAGGAAAACACGAGTCCCTTAAAAAACAAAAAAGTTTACGCCTGTTCAAATGTTTGAGCCCCTTCTCTCTCTCGGTCACAAGGCCAAGTGCTCTCTCTGCATAGAAGAAAAAAAAAAGAAAAGAAGATGGCTTCAAAACATTTGCTCGCACACACACACATATACCATGTGCATGTTTTATATTTTCTGACCCACACACACCAACTCCCCCTCTCCCCCCTTTCCAAAAAAAAAAATGACACTTAATCCTACCCGTATTGCTTGGAATATTGAACATGTTGAACCCTTCATTGATCGAACACCTTACACATATTTTGCGAAAATATAATCCTTATCTTTCTGTTCTTTGAAGCCTAAAACTTCCTTGATTTAAGACCATGAAGATTGGTGATCAACTATGATTCAATACTCGATCAAATAGTTCATAATGAACATATTATATCACAACTTGCTGCAGTTTGGATCAAGAAAGATAATGATGCACAAATTCTGGTTCGAAATATTATTATTCAAGGGAAATATTGAGAAACATTTACAGTGTCTCAATTTAGAGGTTCTTATGATCCATTATAATATATCATTACTTTTCCCTATGGTGACATAAGATGGCATTCTAGGATACCGAGAAAAGCATAATGTGTTAAATGTAAAGAAAGGATATTATTTGTCATGAATCTTACATATATAAATTGTGAATAAAGTCTAATGGAAGGCCATCCTATTGTAAAGCAGATGGCTCTTACAATGTACATAAATATAGAGACGTTTCACTTACGATTTTTTACAGACAATAAACAAAAATTGAGTACTAAGTACTACTAGGGATTTTACAATGTCATTATAGATAGACAAGTTAGGGAAAGTAAGGTTGGGAAATGAGTTATATTTGCAACTTCATTTATTGGGGCTCCAACATATTCAACCATGACATTTGGATGCAACGACTTTAGTTCAACAATTTGGAAAGCTTGACCTTTCTATTTGAAAGGAGTACATTCTTGGGAAAGGGGCTGGGGCTGGGGCTGGGGCTAGGGCTGGGGTGTAGCTCTCCCACACCCTAGTCATCATGTTGTGGTTTTCATTCGCACTACCAAACACCACCCCCCTAGTACTTTCAAAAAGCTAACTCTTAATCTACTTGAAAAAACGGGTAGGGGCTTGTCTTCCCTAATGAATTTACCCAAAAAAAAAAAAATTATACATTCTTAATTAGTCTAGAGTTAAAGATCATTTGAGCTCTTGTGGTGAAGCTTACAATTGGCCAAATCTAATTAAGAGTGTTGAGGGTAAATTTGGAGGACATCAAAAAGTATATTATATAAATTAATTTCTTTAGAAGAGTAATTTCTCATGTACATATCATTGAGTTCTTAAAGAGAGGTCTGACCCACACATATATGCTATTAACTATGACAAATAATGATAATGTGAAAACAATTGACCAAGTTCATGCAACAGTTTCAGCTAAGCTACCAATGAAATGAGTTATATTAGCAGCTTCATTTAATGGGTGTCCAAGAGATGCAAGCATGATATTTGGAATCAACGGCTTTAATTCAACAATATAAAAAGCTTGACCTTTCTATTTCAAAGACTTACTATCTTAACTGGCCTAGAGTCAAGGTCATTTGAAACTCTGGTGGTGTAGCTTACAATCAAATAGATCTAATCTGATCCTAAACGGAAATTAGTTTTCACTAGTTTTCGATGAATCTTAATTTTTGCATTGGACCTCATCAGTCAAAACAGCCATTAATAGTCCAACCAGTCAAACCATCTGGTACGGTATTAATAATGCTAACTAGGGCTATATTATTGGTAAGAGATTGTATACTATGAGATCATTTATCTTCGTTATAAGGAGGTCACAATTAGATGTTTAATTGGATAGCTTAGGATATATCACGAAGTTCAATTTTTTTTCTTTTTAATTTTGAGTTTAGTCAATGACACTCTTACAACCACCTGATTTGAAATATAACAAACACAAGTAATTATACCTCCTTATACTAAAAATAAATGGTCTCTTGTATACTTTTTCTATTGATAATACATTGTCATATATCGCATTTCTCCGTATGTCAATGTCTAAAGCTAGAACAACCTTATTTGTGGATAAAGAGAATAGCAACAAACCCAAACACCCAACTTTGAAATTAGGACCTTTTGTACCAATGCTAAAAGTCCAAGCCCATCATATTTCTCATGGAATTGAGAAGTTGGAGATATCAAACCCAGTCTAGCTAGCACGTGATGAAGAAACCCAATACAAAAGAAAGGAGCACATAATGGTGAACTTCTCCAATTCAATAAATAAACAAACCCTAATTGCAAGTGGAGTTAATGGCGCGTTGAGTGGTGAAGTGGTAGCTCCATCCTCTTCCTACTTTCAACACAATAATCACATTCCCCTTTGGAAAAAGAGAAAGACAGAGAATGAGTGAAAGAAAGAACACTGGCCTTTTATACGCTTGGATGGAGACAAAGATGCTCCAAAAAGCTAAAACACCATTCCCAACTGATAGCTACTCTACATATGGCCCACCCACCACAACTATCCACCTTACTTATTAAATTTCATTGCATGAAATGGAACCCACTTTTGAGCAAAAAGACCCAAGAGCAAATAACCAGCTTACACAACGCCTAAAAAGACATTTGTCACTATGCTAAAAGGAAATTTGTCACTATACTAAAAGGAAATTGGATTTCAAATCGAATTTCCTTAAATTTGTTACTCCTTAAAAGAAATTTTTACTGTACAAATTTTGAGTTAATGAAAGATTTTCTATTTTATAGTTACATAGTCATTGATGCGAGTCAAAAATGCAGCTTGGGGTGTGCGAATAATAACTGAGAAACATAATTGGTGTGCATGAATCGCCCCTTTCTGTTTTATTTCTTTAGAAAAAGAAAAGGGAAAGGTTTTTATACTTCCCTTACTGCATAGAGGATATATGCTTCCCCTCTATCCAGCCATCCAATTTTGATCAAAGTGTGCCACTAACCGTTTGATCTAGATATGACGTTTCAGAGTATTTTATTTTTAGTTAGTTTGCTACAAATTACATGAATGAAATTTGATACTACCATCATCTTAATGGAGCTCACCTAAAAAAAAGTATTAAAAACTATTTTTCGACAAAATATAGTGACCAACATACCCCTTGAAACTTTCTAAGTGTATTTTGGTCATTTTTTTATATATTATATTAATTTTATACTTTTTACAGGTGCAAATTTAGAAGAGGAGTGGACGCCAAAAATTTGGTGTCAAAATAGTTTGTAAAAAAAAAAATTAAAAAATAAAATAGTGTAGAGATGTGACATTGCGATTGGGGCCATCTCAGCAACGTCCATTCTATTCATAATAGATGGTTGGATAGGGGGGAGCATATAAGTTGAAAGCTTGTTCAAAAGAAAATGCCTCTGCTAAATTTTTTGGGGTACCAAGTTCTTGGATGTATGTCAATTGTATCACAGGCAATATCACCATTTTAATTTTGAAGCAAAAGTATTGTTGTGGACCCCCCAGTGCGGGTGTACCAAAACTCTTGGCTTGTTGCCTCAGTTTGCAAGTTCAAGATTACTGTGATGAAGGATTGTAAAAAAAAGCAAAAAAAGCTAGCCCTATTTTAGGAAAGCAATGTCCTCATCCAAAAAGAGAAGAATACCAAAAAGCTTAAAGAGCTCCCTAGCATCCACACCCATTTCTCGATCATCATCCCTCTGTGGGTCTCTCGTGAAGATGCCCAGCGTTATCACTAAGCAGTGTAGAGATCCTTCCATCTCATGCCATATCACACCAAAAATAAAGAAGCAATAACTTTATACATTCTACATTTTCTTTTTCAAAGCACAACAAAACAAACTGTTCAAAAGAGAGTTCTCAACTACGCAAAAGGGTCCCAAACTAAGAGACAGATACTGTTTCTTAAGAGTACTAATGCTTTATCAAATAAGGCCCATTCATGTTGATTTGGGTCCCCACCCCTTCTTTTCTATAACTATTATTCGGAGGGGGATTTAACTTTAATGGCCTCTGATTTGAAGGCATTGAATCCCCTTGCGGGGTCCGCTTCGATCAACATTTGCACGACCTCATTCATTTTTGGTCGATATGCTGGCATGTTGTTGGTGCACAGGACTGATATTCGGAGAGCTTTTACCATATCATCCGTGAACAATTCTGCTAATTGCTTGTCGAGAACATCCTTGGTCCCTTCTTTGGTGGCCACTTTCTTAGAGATCCAATAGACTATGTTCTTGTTTTCCCCAAATTCGGCCTCGACAGGCTTTTTCCCAGTTATGAGCTCCATGAGGAGCACGCCGTAGCTATACACATCGCACTTTGTAGTTGCCTTTGATGAATAAGCATACTCTGATAAAAGGACAAAATTTTCTGGTTAAAAATGCCAGAAAATAACTATAAAACTCAAATTTGCAACCAGTTTGAATATAAAAACTCAAAAATGTGATCTTGTTACGAAATCTGATCTTGTTAATCGAAATCTATAGATATGGCATTAATTGCAATAATTATAATTGCGTTTTTGACAGGCATCTTAATTTGGGGTTTGGCAAAAAAACTTAGGAAGGATTAGTTGGATTTTTCTAATTTTTAATTGGATTTTTCTAATTTAGAGCCTTCCAATTGAATTATATGGGCTGAACCCAAAATTAACTGGCTTAATTCTAGGGTAATTGTCCTGACCTTTTTCCACAAAGAAATCTTAATTAATAGACACAATGATCAGAAGCTCATCTAAGCAAGAACCATGATTCTTATAGAAACATATCATACGCAACGTGCCACAAGTTGGAGAGATTTAGTGTGTGTGAGAGAGAGAGAAAGAGAGGGGGGAGGAAAGAATCAATTCACTGGTCTGAAGAGAACGAGAGTAAGGGAAAGAGAGCCACACAACTTACTTCAATGAAAGAGAGGGAGAGAGATGAAATACCTGGTGCTAAGTATCCATAGGTCCCAGCAATGGCAGTCGTCGTGATCGAATCCCCAGAACCACGAGATTGCAAAACCTTTGCTACTCCAAAATCTGCAACTTTAGGCTGGAAATCAGCATCCAAAAGTATATTGGTAGACTTAATGTCTCTGTGAATTATAGGTGGGGACAAGTCATGATGAAGATAACTTAATCCTTGAGCTATTCCGAGAGCTATTCTGTGCCGCGCTGGCCAATCAAGCAAACAAGTCCCCTTATGCAAAGCATCCCACAAATTTCCATTTGGCATGTATTGATAGACCAATAAGTTCGAATAAGGATTCGAGAAACAACAGTAAAGCTTAACAATGTTCTTGTGCCTTATGCTTCCTAGAGTTTTGACCTCAGCTTCAAGCTCCCTATCTATAAACCCTATATCAGAAGCTTGGTTTTTGGCTCTCTTAGTCCAAAGCTTTTTCACAGCTACTGCCTCTCCATTTTTGAGCTGAATCCGATAGACTGTTCCTGACCCACCATGGCCAATTACATTTTTTTCATTCAAGCTTTCAAGGATTTCGTGTTGGTCAAAATTGAGTTTATGGAAACTCTTGACATCCCATAGGAAAGAGGAAACAGAGGAAGAAGCCTCTATCTCTACAACCACTTTCTCTCTTCTAAACCATCGTCGGAAAAACAAGAGGATTCCAATAAAAAGGGCAATGATGGAAACGAGTATCACCCAAAAGCTATGAAGCCTCTGTTTCTTGCTTCTCTCTTGGCATGGGGGGATTATATTTGGCTTTAGCGCGGAGAGAGAGTCGGCTTGAATGCATATATCTGGATTACCCGCCAAGCTTTCTTCTATTCCCCCTCTAACGATGGCTAAAGGAACCGTACCTGAGAGCCTATTGTTTGAAAAATCGAGCGAATTAGGCAGCAGTTGGAAGAGGCTTTCAGGCACTTTCCCTGTCAATAGATTGTTAGAAAGATTAAGAACATTGAGCATTTTCAGCGCTGAGAGAGAATCAGGAATGGCTCCAACCAAATTGTTCTTTTGAAGGAGGAGAAGATTGAGCTGGGTTAGCTTCCCAATTTCTTGTGGTATTGAACCATTCAGCAAATTTCCACTTAAATCAAGCTTCACCAAATTGTTTGCCCCTGAAATTTGAGGAGGAATTTCACTGGAAAATTGATTGTTTTGCAAGTACAGTTCCGATAAATTCTTTGCCGTTTGAATATTTGGAGGGATTGATCCTTCGAAACCATTGAAAGCCAAATCAATAATGGAGATATGGGGTAGTTCCCAAAATCCTTCAACAATTTTCCCACTCAAACTATTATTGCTCACTCTAAACCTCAACAATTTCTTGCAGTTCGTATAAGACTCGGGCAAACCACCTGAAAACTTGTTATTGAGAGCAAGAAAGTATTGTAAATTGCCAGAACTGCAGATTTTTGCTGGAAGTTGGCCAGAAAGTTGGTTTTCCGAAACATCAAGGAGGATGAAATTCGAGAACTCACCAAGTCCGGGGGGCAATTCCCCGGTAAGGTAGTTCTCATACAGTGACAGGCCCATCAAAGAGGTCGAATTTCCAATCGCTTCTGGTATTTTTCCAGTGAGACAATTGTTGTAAAGCTGGAGAGAGGCAAGGTTTGGTAACCGGAAAATCTCATCAGGTATATTTCCAGTGAGTTTATTCACCGAAATATCCAAGTCTCTGAGATTAGTTAAGTTTCCAAGCTCTTTGGGTATTGAACCGGAGAGTTGGTTATAGTAAAGCTCAAGAAGTTGCAGGTTTTTTAGCCTTCCTAACTCCGCTGGAATCTGACCCACAAGGTGATTTCCACTGAGCTCGAGGTCCTGAAGCTCACTTAAGTTAGCCAAGCTTGCAGGAATCTGACCCACAAGGCCACAAGTGGAGAGAATAAGCTTCCGGATTTTCGTGAGCCTAGTAATCTCTTGAGGCAATTCTCTCATGAAAAATTTGGGGATCATATTGAAATTGAGCACTTCGAGATTAGTAAGGTTCGACACAGTCACTGGAAACTCACCAGAAAATTGGTTGTACGACAAGTCTAGGACTTTGAGAGAGGTTAATGGCGATAAATCAGGCAATTGACCAGAGAAATGGTTCATGGTTAAGTTGAGCTCTTCTAAGAGAGAACAGTTTACAATACCTACAGGAAAATCGCCATGAAACCAGTTACCACCAAGTTTAAGCGTACGCAGCTCCGGCAAGAAGTGGCAAGCGTTGGCTGGGAACAGACCACCGAGAACACGGCCAGAGAAGTTGAGCTCCATTATAGAGCCAAAGGTGTCACATAGGACACCTTCAAAGTTACAGTAAGCAGATGAAGCGATGGAGCTAGTGGTGTTTGGGTCTTCAAAATTAGGCCAGTTCAGGAGAGAAGGGGTCAAAACAGAGTCTCTCAAGAGAGATAAGAAATGGAGTTGGTCTTGGTTGGATTGGAGAGAGAAACCGATGAGGAGGATGAGGGAGAGAAGAGAAAGGAAGTGGGTCTTGGAAGCCATTGTTAAGACAATGGAGGAGCACTGAATTTTAGAGAGATGAGGTGTGTGTTTGTGAGTGAAAGGGGCATGGGCATGGGCATGCAGGGGGTGGGTGATGGCTGCCTATAAACGCTAGAGAGGAGAGGAAAGGAAAAGCGGCTTTTCGGAGTTTATACTCCCTGCTTTGCTTTTAATCGGAGATTCGGTGTGTCCTCGGGTGGCCAAAACAAATCCTTGAAATTAAGAGACACAGTGAAACAAATCCTTCAAACTAAGAGCGGGAAATCCGAGAGACCACAATCCTAGAAACTAATTTTCCAATAAATTCCGTTCCGTTCAGCTTTTTGCATAAACCTTGGAAAGATGATGTGGAATTCCGATGGTGCCATCTCCTTTGTCTATCATGCTTAGACAAGATTTTCTACTCTCGGGGGCGTATACTATTTACCTAATTCTTCCAGCAAAACACATGCTCGCCATACTTTTTATATATCTCAAATTTTGAAGATGTAATCTCTACAACTTATAGAATAATCTCAGCAAATTTTTTTATTTTTTGAAATAAACTTTGTACGCACTAGAAAAAAAATTGATGCTTCAAGATTAAATGGAGACTATCTAATTTTTAAGTGCTAGATTAAAACGGCACACACTCAAAATTCAATATTTTTTCTTCTTTTAAAAATAATCATCTAGTGATTCTTATATGATTCCCAATATTTTTGTCTAAAAAAACATTAAGCAAAAGCACAATATGCTCCATCGGGAGCATTGTATATGTCCTCTCCCAAGAAACTAGACCAAGTTGCAAGCAAATCAAAAGATGTGGGCCCAAAATGATTTCCGATAAAACGTGTCATGGGAAATATAAGACAACATACTTTCAAATGTGGTCGGGCTTTGTTAGATTCGAAGTGTCCCCACCATATATCATTTCTTATGGAAAAAGTTTATATTGAGCCGAGGCTCTAAACAATCAAATTAAAGCTCGCCTCAAAAAATTCACTAGAAGATGTTATTTTGATGCCCAGATATACTCAAATTGATCATCTCGACATCAAGATGCATGGATATGAGAAAAAAATGGATTTCAAGTTTTGAAAATAGTGCATCTTGTAATACATTTTTGGACCGTCAATTTTTAAGATTTTCAAGTTTTCATAGATATACTAGATCTACACTATTTTTGAAACTTTAAATTTTATAATTAGATATGAAAATGTATTTTAAGTCTATCACAAAGATTTCAGTATTGAAACCATATTATTCAATACTATTTGAAGGTGATCTCTACTATGATTGTTTAGAACCTCGGCTCTATACAAACCGCACCCTTCCTATATAGGCCAGTTTGGCTTGTATGAGAGAAATTTGCAATCAACGGTCTCCAAGGTTACTGAATTAGGGTTTCCGAGGAGAGGTCATTCGATCTTACTTCTAACTAATTTTGGATCCATAAGTTGTGGCCAAACTTGGTATGATCCCCTCTTAATGCTACAAAAGGAGTTAAACTCTCTCTCTACTTTTCATCCCAATTTCTTTTTTTGTTTTGCGAATGCATTAGGAACTATTTCTTTTATTCTTAATCATTTTTGCCGATGCATTGGGAACCATTTTTTTATTCTTAATCATCATTAACGTCGTTGAAGTTTTTTTCCAACTAATTGTGATCAACTACATGAATCCTCCTTGTTATTTAAGGGTCATACCCTTAGTTTAGCCATGCTATTTCTTCATTCCTAATGTGTTTTGCAAAACAGACCCCGTGTTCTACAAATTGAGCACAACTATTTCTTTAGGGAATAGTTTGTATAAGGTTCAGGCTCTAAACAATGAAAGTAAGGCGCACCTTGCAATAGTATCTAAAAATGCTATACTTTAGTACTAGAAATTTTTGCAATGGCCTGAAATTTATTTTTATTTGAAATTATAAAATTCAAAGCTTCAAAAATAGTGTCGATAGAATACATAAATACTTAATTATCTTGAAAATTGGCGGTCTAAAAAATACATTACAAGATACACTATTTCAAAGACATGAAATCCATTTTTTCTCATATTCATTCATACATCTTGAGAAGTTCGAGATGATGAGGATTGATAAGCATTAAAACAACCTGTTTTAGTGAATTTTTTGAGGTGCGCCTTCTTGATTGTTTCTGGTCTGACCCCCATGTAAACTTTTCCCTTTGTTTATTCATTTCCCAAAAGAACTGTGGGATAAACTTGTTCAGTCCTTGGAATGATTGGGAATTCTTATCCTTTCCCACCAATTGGCATCGTGGTACTTCATTTTTTGGAGAAGGTGACATGGTATCTTTTACTTTTCCTACTGCGAAAGGATCCATAGGCTACCATACCTCTTGTAAAAACATTCTTCTCCACATCCACTTAAATTTTACAAAAACTTATGCAGGAAAACATCCAGTGGTTGCCCTTTGTTCAAATTTTGGGCCATATTAGGGTGAGGTCCTTTATTTTTTTGTTAGTTTTATCTTTTATTCTCATTTTATCTGCGGTTCAATAGGTATGGCATTTTTCGAACCACCCAAGATATGAAATTTGATGTATATCAGCAGTTCGAAAGATAATGTTGTTTTGATGCCCAAATATCTTCAAATTGATCACCTCGACATCAAGATGCATGGACATGAGAAAAACAAATAGATTTCAAGTTTTGAAAATAATGTATTTTGTAACGTATTTTTCGAAAGTCAGTTTTTAAGATTTTTAAGTTTTCATATATCTGTCGATCTACATTATTTTTGAAGCATTAAACTTTATAAATAAAGATAAAAATATATTTCAAGGCTATTACAAGGATTTCCAATATTGAAACCGCATTTTTCGACACTATTTGAAGGTAGGCTCTAATTTGATTGTTTAGAGCCTAGGCTCCGTACAAACCGCACCCCAAATTTAATTTTATTTCATTCAAAGATACTGTCTTTTTTCATATCTATATTTATCTTAGTTTTATGTATGGTTTTAGTGAACTAGGCCTATTACAAACATAACATTTTATGACAACAACAAAAATATAGAATGAAAAAAGGAGAACTAAATTTCCTTGGAGGTAGCGCTGGCAATGGGCAGGGCTTGGGCCTAGCTAGGCCATGTTTCCAATAGGACCGGCATGGCCCTTTCCCTATGAGGGCTGGGCTGGGCTAGATAAAAATTAAAGAAAAGAAATAAAAAACAAGGTTAGGCCAGGCTGAATTGGTTGGTCTTGACCCAACCTAGGTTTGGTCGTGGGCCTTGTTCTATGGTGGTCAAGTCCTCGAGCCACATTTTGTGGGACATGCCCTAGTTTTTTAATAATTGGGTTGAGAAAATCGGTTTGGGGCACCCGACCCATTGCCACCCCTGGTTGAGGGTTGCTCTTTTTTTTTTTTCTGACAAAAGTAGGAAGTTTAGGGAAAATTACAAAAAACCCCCAAGACCACCATTTCTATGCAACTTTCTCCCAACCTAAGTTTTTCTCTCACTTTTTTCCAAAAAACACACTTTCTATGCAAATACGTCCCAAGGGAAAAAGTTCATTTTTTTTAAATGTAAATGCCATTCCCGTACACATAAATCAATTTGGCCAGATTTGACGTTGACTTTCGGAGCTCATTGCCGGAACGAACCACTGTAGTGCTGGAGCACATGATTCACTGCCGGAGCACATATACGCAGTGGTGGAGCGCATGATTCACTGCCGGAGCACACATACGCAGTGCTGGAGCGCTGTGACTCTAGATTACATTGTCGGAGCGCACTTACACAGTGCTGGAGTACATGATCCACTACTAGAGCGCACATAGACAGTGCCGGAGCGTCGTAACTCTAGAGTGTTGTACTGCCGGAGCGCACTTAAACAGTGTTGGAGCACATCATCTATTGCCGGAGCGCACATACACAGTGCCGGAGCGTTGTGACTCCAGATTCCACTGCCGGATCGCACTTACACAGTGCCGGAGAGCATGATCCACTGCCGGAGAGCACATAGACAATGCTGGAGCGCTATGACTCCATAGTGTTGTAGTGTCGGAGCATACTTATGCAGTGTCGGAGCACACTTACATAGAGAAGAGAGAGGTGTGGGTAAGGTGAAAGTAAGGGAGGGTAGATTAGGCATTTTTTTATTTTTTATTTGGTTAGGGGGTATTTGCATATAAAGTCTCTTTTTGATAAAAAAGTGAGAGAAAAAGTTAAGTTGGGGGTAAGTTGTATAGAAAGTATAGTCTTAAGGTTTTTATTTTTGTTTTTTGTAATGTTTCCAAGATTTTATTGCTTACTCCTAATACGTCTTTTCACTATAACACCAGCCATATACACTTCAATGGATAGTACTCAAGGAATTATTCATTTCTTATCCAGCAAAAGTAAATGACTAAAGGATCAAAACCAGAATGGAATCAACTTAAATTTAAGGTTATCTTCGAGAAAGTTCAGGTTTTCTTTCTTCAATATTTTGATTCGAGGAGGAGACGGCATTTCAAGAGGTGTATACGCTTTTTTATAGCGAGGCTCCGCGTTTAAGTGTGTGTTAGCTAAGGTGATACATGACCTTTAAATTTTGTCTAGAGATAGTAGTTTTGATGTTAGAAACCTTATGATAGCTAGAAATCTTATTTTATCTTTAATTATAAGTTATAAATTTTAAAAATAATATAGATCAAGCAGATATATAAATATTTATTTATTTATTTGAAAATAGAGAGTCTAGAGAACTTGTTACATGAACTATTTTTAGGACTTGCAAATCTTTTTTTTTCATATCCATAGTCGAGAAGATCAATTGGAGGGTGGGTTTTCTAGTCATCAGATATTTGATTGGATGTTTTTATTTTTTTTTAATCCGATAGTTGAAAATGTATATTATTATTTGAATTTTAATAAAATCATATCACGCTAAAATTTTGCGTTTGTACTACATATTGGGGGTAGAAAAAATATATTATATAAAAAAAAATATTTTCCAAAACTTAAAAGAACCAAAGTACCACTAATATATGATTGGGTAATTTTTTTCATTTCAATTTTTAAAAATATATATATTTATATATATTTTCATGTGATGTTTGATGGTGTCAAGGTATATAAGCATCAAATTTTAGCTTAGTTTGATTAGTTAA